TTATGGGTTTCTTTTTTTAATTTATCGTATATTGACTACTACAATTGTTTTGACTCAACTGGAGCGAAAGGATTTCCTTAAAAAAAAGTTTGGCAAATTCAAAAATGCACGACTCATAATGCTCATTCGTTCGACAAATAAAAAAAAATGTTCTGAAAGAATATTTTTTTTAATTTTATTTTAAATGTTATTTTATTTTTTTTTTTTTATTTAAATATTTCTTTTGCAATTTACTATTTTTTTTGTTTGCTACTTTTTTTTTTTAAATACTTTTAAATACAATTTCTTTTTTTTTATTTTTTCATTTCAAATTTCGCGCGGTGTTGTAAACTGATCATGTGCACTGAGTGTGGATTTTTTTCATTAATTTTAGTTTTTCGTTAATAACAAATAAACAACATTAAATAAGATTACCATTTCCAATGGAGATCTCCGCTAAGGGAATGCCAAACTATTAGAAAAAAAAATGATTGAATTCGTGAATTTTTACGCCAGTTATCGTGTTTTTAACGGAAAATTGAGTTGATTGACACGAATTTTCATTTAACTATTTTGATATTTTTTTCTGGTTTTATTATCTTAAATTGATTTTTACCAGTAACAGAATTAATCTCCATTAAATTATCTATCGAATGGTGCGCAAATTAATTAGATTACGTAGATTATCAATCGTGTAATTAATTAAATAGTTACGAAATCGAGGCAAAACAAATTTTTCGATCGTAAAGCACTCTCTGATGCTTCGCATCATGAGTCGTGCAAAAAAAATGATGTGGTGTCATATGGGACACCGGAAGTAACACAATTTGCAAAAAAAATATTGCTTAATCTTATGTATATTTTTTTAATTTTTTTTTTTTTTTTAATTTTGCTGATTAGTTTTTATTACACATTTTTCCAAGTGATATATGATATGATTTTGTCTATTATCCATATCTATGCGTAAATGTTTATTTATTTATTTAAATAAACAAACCCAACAGCCTAGGGGCCATTAACAGGGTTAATAATACAACAGTTAGTATATAAAAACAAAAAAAAATTTTGATTTATAACAAGATGACTTATAGCTAGCATAATGATTTCATATTTAATAGAATAATAATATTAGTATTAGTATTAATTATAAATATTCTATATTATAAATATTAATTTTAATTATAAATTTAATAGATAGATTGTTAAATGAGTAGACCATTGATGTGTTAGCAATTGCAAACCATTACAAAAAATAATAGTAATTGATAAAATTAAAAAGAAAAAAATAATATTAATAATAATAATTATAAAATTTGTAGCAATTGCACATAATTAACACCATTAAGTTGATATTTGGCCAAGTGATGCTGTTTTACAGCCACTAAGTTAGTTTGACAGCAACAGGTGTAAATAATTATCTGATAATTAGTAACAAGATTGTTTTGTTCAAATTAAACCAAATTATAAGTCATTAATAAGAGCGCAAATCTTGTACCATGTAATATACAGGCCTGCATGGTGCCTGATAAATCTACTAGTATTGACATCACCAGTTTTAATGACTTTACAGCTAATATCACTCAAACTCTCAAAAACAGATCCAAAAAATCACTAAAAAAACAAAAAAAAATAATAATTTCAATACACTGAATAGTTCGCTAGTAGAATATGTTCTCATGGATAGTTAATGATTGGTAAATATATACTCAACAAGTTAAGAAGATTAATTAAAAAATGTAATGCTTAAATTAATATGAGTATACATATTTGAAAATATCGATTTGCAACCAGTTAGTCATGCATAAGTATCCTTTACTAATGAGGTTCAAAAGTTCTTTACTATAATATATAGCGCGTATTTTAATGATTGAATTTAGTAGAGATCTTTTTAAGTAGATTTCATAGAAATCAATCTATTGCATTGGTCCTCATGTCGGAATTCACTCGGAATTTTGTCGTAATATCACTTAACTAGTCGAGTGAAGCTCAAAAATAACGTTAGTTAAAAAATTTATATATGTATGTAATATAACGCGTTAGTTAAAAAATTTATATATGTATGTATATATAATATGTAATATAACGCGGGGTGTTGCCGCGATTGTGTCTACAGTTCTTGACGGATCTAGATGGATTTGTTACACATATTCTTTGGATAATAACCTTGAATGGGTTTGAAGATGAGCGAAATCCATCGATAAGTTTAGAAATGGCAGCTCTTCAAAATTATCGAAATAGTGAAAATCACGTTTTTGGTGACTTCATTAATGTATAACTTTTGGTTGAAATGAGATGGCTAATTTTTGATGAATTCATGTAAAAGCTCATGAAGTTGCCTTTAATTTGACGTATATAACATTGACATTTTGACCATTTTTAGTTATTTTATCAAGGTTAAGAGTTTGACTGAACCATTTTCAGGCAATGTGTAGTGCAGGCGACTTATGAATGTTATTCTGTCGAGAATTCGTAACAGATCCCAATGAAATTTAGTATACAAATTCATTTGACAATTAGCTTGGATGAGCCTTAAAATGAGCGAAATCCTTCGATTAGTTCAGAAATAGTAGCTCTTCAAAATGATCAAAATAGGAGAAATTACGTTTTCAGTGACTTCATTTATGTATAACTTTTAATAGCAAAAAGATAGCTCATTTTTGATAAATTTACTCACACTTCTTATTTGACGTATATAATGTTAACTTTTTGACCATCATTAGTTATTTTATCGAAGTTAAGAGTTCAATTGAACCATTTTCAGACAATGTGTAATACAACCTATCCATATTAAACAAAAGTTATTGAGACAAGACGATAATTCATTCTATGAAATCTACCTTTCATTTCGGGTATGGCCGAATGGCGTCTTTTTTTTTTAATGTTCATTCACAAAGTGTTTTAGTGGTAGATAGTGAATCGATTTTGTTGAAGAAGACTTGACGATGTAGTTTTGCATGGAATCGTTAAAATTGACAAGTGGACTTGAGGCAAACGAGCGAGCAAGCGAAGTTGAGGATCGCGTTGGAATTAATGAGCCATCGATGTAACGGATCTCGTCGTTGAGAAGCTTCTGTAGGAAGAATCTTCACTCGATCATACTTCACGAGTACTCGTGCCCTCGATTTTGAAGCAAGTGAAGGATACTTATGCTCTATCCGACTGATCGAACCTGCTGAAAGAATATAAAAAAACCCGTATACGCGTGTATTTATAAAACAAACAAACGTCACAAGCCATCTTCTTTAACTCACAAGAAAGTTTAACTCTATAGGTATGTTGTTTTCTCTAATCAATCATCCTTATCCACGCACAAATTATAAACATTTAAAAAGCTTCCACCAACAGCCGCATTGATGTTTCTATAACACTCAACTCTCCAGTCGATAAACTCTTCCGATGTTAAAAAATTAATGAATATACAAGCCATCGAGTGTATAATATATGAACGAAAGCTTTACGTTTTACTTTAACAAAACTCTTTTTTGGTGTACGTGGCTCCGATATCGTGGGACACAGATGCAACCCTCCATTTTGTCGTGGCATTGTTACTCTAAGTACAGTCTCCATTGTTACTGGGCAGCCACTCTAGGCATTGTTAACAGTGTTGTTATTATTATCGCTACTGTTGCGCAGACGAGAGAGAATAAGAGAGGCGACACATGACATATAAAAGACAGAAATTGCCATTCGACGGTGCATTATATAAAATGTACAGACTGAAAATAGTTACCCTGAAAATTTTGTCGTCTCTCTTATTGGTTGACGAACCAGCTGCTCTTCGAGTGGGGCATTACATCTAAATTATTATCACCAGTAATTTTTTATCCTTTTACTCGATATACACTTTTCCATTTTTAATTCACCATTATCACTCCAAGTCTATTGTAGCTCTAATTTTTTCTTCAGAATATCTTCTAATGCGTGTACAATTATCGAGAATTATAAAAAAAAATTCAAATAATTATACACGGAAAAAAGTAACCT